GATCCTCGGCCGCTACAGACGTGCGTAGCATACACTCCGATTCTCAGCCATTCCCGATCGCCGATCCTCGGCCACTATGAACGCGCGTATATTCTTCCGCTCCGAAGCTCCACCACATACACCACCACATACGCGTATAAATATCCACCTCGATCGCTGATTCTCGTACTTTCTCTTTCTTTCCTTCTCTAACGTTTTTATCTTTGTTATATAAGACCTATCTATTATACCGATCTATTCGGCGTAGGCCCCTTACAATTATAATATCTTACAACTGAAGATTTAATCATTGCATAGTAATATAGATCACTATCTATCATGACCTTCATATTATACATGTTATTCATCACAGTAGATACAAGAATTGTATTCATTACTATCTTTTCTTTAAATCATTATTATCTGATCTCTTCAAGCTTCAGTTTATGAATTTGAACAGAAGCTAATCTTTTTTCTGCTTCATTGAGATGTTCTTGTAGTTATCTTCTGAATCTTTCTTCAATGTAATGTAATTAATACAGACAGATGCTAATTCATTCTTTGAGTGAGAAGACACTGATCTTTCTCTTAAGTGAGAAGATACATAGATTGATTAACAGTTGAAAGTAATATATTCTGATCAGTTATAATTGATGTACATCTCATATTAATATCAGTCAGTGACTTCTTCAGAAGTGATCTCAGAAACTCAGAAGTCTGTTCAGATAGTAAAGACTCTTACTTATATATAGATATTTAAGTCTACTCAGTTCATAGCATCTGTATCATTGTTATTATTTCTCAGTACAGATATATAAGTAGACTGATCACTGAGATTATAAATTTCACATTTAATCTCATTTAATCTGATCTCATACATTTCTTGGCGTGAATCCCGCTGGGACTGGCTATTAAAAAAACAGATAAAGTGACTATATATCAGATCTTAAAATGAAATCATGACTTGAAAAAAATGAGAAAGTGATCTCATTTAATCTCATTTAGTCTCATTCTTGACATAAAGTTACTATTTTTAGACATTTTAAGGTTTTTTTTAGACTATTTTTAATTTTTTAAAAAGTAACACTTTTTGATAACACTTAAATGAGATTTAAAGTCATTTAAAGCAATAAAAATAATTTAAATTGAGAAGTGAAAATCATGGTCTCATTTGAAAAATGTGATAAGAGTAGACAGTAAGTCTCACTGAGACAGTATGAGACTACTATCTAATGTTAAAACTGTGTAATGAGATCAGTTGAATTGATAATGAGACTATTAAAAAATCTGATCCTGGTCTCAGACACGGTCACACGGTCAGTCTATATATAAGTGACTGAGATATAATATCTTCTATCTCTGTTCTGTATACTTTTGAGCTTGATAAGATAATCATTCAATATCTGAAGTTATATACAGAAATCTTCATAAGTCTGATCTTCATCTACACTTACAAGAGCCTGTAAGAGTTTGAAAGTTAATGTCTTCTTAAGCATACTAATCTTCATTTAATTCTCTCAAGATTGATCACCTGCTTTTAGAATCTTGATATTGAAGTCAGAGATGAATATTATAAGAGAAGTATTTCTCTATCAGACACTCTATAATCAATCTAATGCTTTCTGTTGCATAGCAGTATCTCAGAACAGAATATCAAGATATTTGATAATATTATCAGACATTTGCAATACTGATTCACATGCTTTTATTCATGAATAAAACTTCTGTTTTATGTGATTCTTTAATCATTCATTGATATATCAATCTTGATTGATTAGTGAACTGATGACATCTTCATCTAAACTTAGTTTCATGAGCATTTCCAGCCTTCATAATAAGTATAGAGTGAGATTGAAAGCATTGAAATATATGAGAGTATCTAAGCATTTCTTCAGTGCTTGTATTGTGTTCATATTCAATTTTATCAGTGTTGAAATTGCAGGAATTCCTTGTTAGACTGACCGTGTGACCGTGTCTGAGACCAGGACCAGATTTTTTGATAGTTTTATTACCAATTCGACTGATCCCATTACACGGTTTTAACATTAGATAGTGGTCTCATACTGTCTCAGTGAGACTTACTGTCTACTCTTATCACATTTTTCAAATGAGATCATGATTTTCACTTCTCAATTTAAATTATTTTTATTGCTTTAAATGACTTTAAATCTCATTTGAGCATTATCAAAAAGTGTTACATTTTAAAAAATTAAAAATAGTCTAAAAAAAACCTTAAAATGTCTAAAAATAGTAACTTTATGTCAAAATTGGAACTAAATGAGACTAAATGAAACCACTTTCTCATTTTTTTCAAGTCATGATTTCATTTTAAGATCTGATATATAGTCACTTTATATGTTTTTTTGATAGCCAGTCCCAGCGGGATTCACGCCAAGAAATGTATGAGACCAGATCAAATGAGATCAAATGTGAAATTCATAGTTTCAGCGGCCAGTCTATTCCTTGTTGAGTTAATTATTGAATTTTCTTGTATTAGTATTGTTGATTCACATGTATATCAACTATTTATTGTTATTATAATTTCAATATTACTCAGAGTCACTGTGATATTATATTTATACTCATATTCAAGAGTTCTCTCATATTATTATTAGACATGATTATATCATTTATTAAATATGTAATATCTGTGAAATCTGAAGAAGTGTAATTGTATAAATATCTTATATATCTAGAGTGTCAGAACTCTCAGGTCTTTCACTAATATTCTCTTTATAAAATCTTATTCTATTTATAAGATCTTGTTATAAAGTGAGAGTGACTGATGAGTAAGCTTTTATCTGAGAACTCAGTATCTACTTAACTGATAAATCATTTTTCTATTTCTTATATATTATTAGACTGACCGTGTGACCGTGTCTGAAATCAGAATCAGATTTTTTGATAGTTTCATTATCAATTTGACTGATTCTATTACACAGTTTTAACATTAGATAGTTATTATTATTATTATTATTCTTCCATTATACTCATATGCAAGCGGAGCTTATGATGAGTCCTTGCGTGATGTTAAATACAGGTCAAGTGTTGATTATACAGGAGGAAATACAGGTGTTGAGACCATGCCAAGATAACAAGAACATAGGAAATACAAAGAAGTGACAATTAGATACATGTGATAATAACTTCTCAGCTCAGGAACATAGAGTGATTTTATTGAAGTGATTTGTACACCTCTGTATTTATTAGAAACCTGAGGTGCTTGAGTTCCGGATTTAATGTATTCTCTGCAGGTTTCAAACCCACACACCTTGGTTTCTCACGTTAAGACACTATCAGATGACCACATTAATCATTCAGTTATCAGAGCAACATTAGATAGTAGTTCTATACTGTTTCAGTGAAACTTACTGTCTACTCTTGTCATATTTTTCAAATGAGATTATGATTTTCACTTCTCAATTTAAATTATTTTTATCGCTTTAAATGACTTTAAATCTCATTTAAGTATTATCAAAAAGTGTTACTTTTTAAAAAATTAAAAATAGTCTAAAAAAAATCTTAAAATGTCTAAAAATAGTAACTTTATATCAAGAATAAAACTAAATGAGATCAAATGAGATCACTTTCTCATTTTTTTCAAGTCATGATTTCATTTTAAAATCTGATATATAGTCACTTTGCATGTTTTTTTGATAGCCAGTCCCAGCAGGATTCACGCCAAGAAATGTATGAGATCAGATCAAATGAAATTAAATGTGAAATTCATAATTCCGGCGGTCAGTCTATATATTATTATGTGTTTAGATATCTTCTTGATAAATAATCATTTCTAATAAAATGATAATGAATATTTTTCAAGTGTAAGAAGTCTATGCTGAATAGATTGATATAATATATAGATCTTATATAAAAAAGTAAAAAATGTTAGAAAAGAAAAAGAAAGAGAAAGTACAGAGATCAGTAATTGAAGTGAATATTTATATATATATACAGTGAAGCTTCAGAGTGAAAGAATAGAAATTTCATAAGTTTTCAGTCATGAATTGATGACTAAGAATCAGAGCTTTCAGTAGAGAATTGATAACTGAGAATTAGAGTCTTTGTAGAAATCTGTGAAGTATAATGAAATAGTCTATATAATTGATCAGACGCAGTCTGCTACACACTTATATAATTCATATTAATAATAAGTTTACTATAAAGCTATTCTCTTTCAAAGCAATTCTGCACTGCTTTAAGTATATAGAGATTTATTTTCACATTCTTCAAGATCTTATCTGTAAGAATGAGATATTTATCTGATATATTTCATCTACTGAGAACACAGTGAATGAGTTTACTAAATTACTTAAATCATTGAAATATACACATTGAAAGAAGAATATAAAGATGAAGAGATAAAGGTATAAAAAATAATATATCTTATAACTGATTTTTCATTGCTATATATTTTCCAGTCACTTTTTATACCTGTACTTGATTTGAAGGTGAACTTTATATATAGCATAGTGTATAATTACTCTGATAAGTAAGAATATCAGATTATATAATCTGACTTACTAATTCTTTTATTATATAACCTTTTATAAGCTAGTAATCTTTCAATTATACAAGTTTTACATCTTTTATATAAATAAGATTATTTTCTTAATTTTTCTAAGTTATAGTCTTATTTTAAGATCTGATTAATAGTTACTTTGCATGTTTTTTTAATGATTAATCCCAGCAGAATTCATATCAAGAAATGTATGAAATCAGATTAAATGAGATTAAATATGAAATTCATAGTTCTACTGATCAGTCTATTTCTGCCTTATATATACACACTTCTGATAATAAAGAAAAACTCAGATCTGCAGAAGAAATTAACAGTGAGTTGATTATCTTTACTGATATTAATAAGACCTATATAATGCTAACTACATATGCTTTATAATTTTAGAACTCAAGCTTGATTTTACCTGATCTGATTAAACATGCTTTAATAATAAAATCATTACAATTTACTTGTCTCATCTCTTCTTTTATCTTTTAAAGAGAATGAAGTTTAACTCTTTCTATAGTATTCTTTTTTAAAATACATATTATTTCTTCATTTACTATTCATATTCACAATACATATTGAGAGGGAAAATATTTTGATCTCAACAAAAGCATGATACCATCAATTAGTGGGGCCAAAGCATTCTTCTTATATATAAAATGAACCGCTTGCGTAACCATCAGTTATGCTCTCGAGAATCTGATCTCTGCTGCTGCCTTGGATGCGTACGTCTATACATCTACATATAAGCAAATGAATGAACAAATTATTCTCTCAACAATCTGATGCAGCAGTTAACTGATTTGAATCAACAATTTTCCACTCTTTCTTTGAATCAACCGTAACTATATGAATGCGTTACGCAATCAAATTTTGTTCTCACATGCTGATCTGCAGCACTTCCTCTTGCCTCCTTTCTTTTCACCCCTCGCCTCATCTCCGTCGTCTCGCGGAGAGAAAAACGGAAAAGCTTTCAAGGAAGAAACGTCAGGATTCCCTGTGGCAAACAGACTGAAATTACATTGTGCCTCCCTCCCCTCCTGTTCCCCCTTCCGCGGCCCCTATGTACAGTATGCTTTCATTTTCACAATATATACCCGACCCCGCTTATCCTGATTCCGGCGCGTCAACGGTATCTTTCAACGCTGAAAAAGTGGTGTGCTGGGGGGGGATTGTGGAGCGTATTGTCACTGATCCTGGCACTGGTCATCTCGCCATATTTACAGAAACAAGGAGGCATAACTATAGATAGTAGCATGACAAAAAAAAGAGGCCAAAGCCAAAGCCAAAGCCAAAGCGGCCCCTTCCCCCGTTCCCCTCCTTTCTTCAACTTGGAATAGGACCCCAAAGTCGCCCTGTTAATAATACCCGCAGATAGCCAGCCAAAGTCAACAAAAAGGACTTTGGCTTCTCTACCTAGTGTTGCTTGGACGCGCAACCCCCTCACATCTCACATTGTCTCGTCTTCCCTCATCCTCGTCATCCATTGTCAACCATGTACTACCTCCCGCCCGGGGGGGAGGATGAACAATGGATGACGCGGGCAGGGGGGATGGGATGAATGGATGAACGGGACGGGATGTCATATCCGTACCTCCCCTGCGTTGCATGTGTGCATGGAAGTATGGTATATGGTATGCGCGTCCCGCATGTTCGAAAACTGCAAAACTGCAAAACTGCAAAAAACAAAACGCGCATACACATGCTGACATACATAATTCCACATCCCTCTGCTGCCTTGCAGATTCGATACGCGTATTTTAGTGTTCTGTTTCCTTTGTTCCAAGACGACAGGACAGGACAACCCCCGTGTTCTTACGTATGCGGTTTACGTATGCCCTGTCGGTGGGAGCAAGGGGGGAATAATACAGAAGGAGGAAAGGGAGATATAACCTAATAGAGAGAGAGAGAGAGAGAGAGAGAGAGAGAGAGAGAGGAGTGTGTGTGTGTGTGTGTGTGTGTGTGTGTACGTGTGTGTGTAGATCTTGAATAAGGCGATGAGATCAGCAGGACGGGATGTGAGGGGGTGTCCATGGGTCCATGGAAAGTACTTTTCCTCTTCTCCCTCGAGATATCCCATGAGTAGTGGTGGAATCTCAGCTTTGATCTGTTATGCCTGCGTGCAGGTACCCTGATTCAACATGTACATGGGAGCAACCTTCTCCTAACTATATATATACCTCACCTCATCCATCTACACTATCCCTTCTTCAATCATCACCTCCTTTTCCCCCTCCTAACTAGGGCTTCTAGGGCTGTATCATGATTCACGTGAAGAGAGAAATGGATGGACGGGGGGGGGGGGACAATGATTGATTTATTCGGTCCCCAATGTTTAATATATCACTTTAAATCTACATAGACACATCATATTGAGGTTCATTGCTAAGTTTTTGTTTGTTTACCATTGCATTTCTGGGCATGTTCTATCGATGGAAAGAGAGGAAGCACATACTCAACAGATATTCTAGAAGAAGAAAAATGGGAGGAAGCGCGTTGTTGAGTGAGTTTCAGAAGACGAAATAAAGATGTTGCTATTGAAGATATATCTACTTAATCTACCCGCCATTCCTCTCTTCTACATACCATCTTTTTCTCCATTGGGCAAACACAAGCAAGAAAACATAACTATGTAAATTAAGATGGATGGTGTTAAGAAAGAAAAAAATAAGAATAGGACGGGAAAATACCATGTAACCCATCCCCTCAGATCTAGACTTTCTCACGTCCCCCCATTTACAACACCGCAAACGCAGAAACATAACTAACCGAACTATCCGCAACCGCAACAACATCCGAACTCCTCTCATACCTCACAAAATAAAACTTCCCCTTCTCCAACTCCCTATCCCCATTCCCCCCACTCTCATTATCCTCTTCCCCCTCCCCCTCCCCGCTACCCTTCCTCACCGCCTCCAACCCAGCCATAACAACCCCAATCGGATGCCTCCCACAAACCGTATTCCCCGTCTTGCGCAACGCATCCAGAAACAACGCCGTCTCCCCCGACGCAATCGCCTTCATGCACGCAACGTCACACGCAGAAATGCTCTCATGGATATACGCGACCCCCGCCCCACCATTCAACATACGGCTGCGTGCCTTGAACGCCCCGCCGCCGGACACCGCGTCAATGGCCGCCTGCGTCCCAGCTATCGCGGCAGGGCTCGATGAGCCCCGTGCCGCCGAGGGCATGGGCATGGGCAGGGGGAGTTTCGGATACGAGAGCGGCAGCGCCGGTGCGGGCATGTGCACATCGGGGACGTAATATGTGTATCCGAAGCGGAGGCCCCAGTGGCAGAAGTCGGAGGAGACGATGAAGGCGTTCGTCTCGTCGGCGAGGTAGGGGGCCAGCAGGGCGCCGAAGGCTGCTTCGGTGGCGGCGGAGGTGCTGCCGACCATCATGGGGACGAGGCGCGGGTAGGCGGTTGCGGGCTTGGTGGGGTAGAGGGTGCGTATAAGGTGGTGGATGTAGGGGAGGTGGAGTTCTAGGCTGTGTTCGGCGGAATCGACGGCGGGGGACATTGTTGTGAAGCGTGGGTTGGTGGTGGTGGAGAGAAGGTGGGTGATTAGGTCTGTGTCCAGGAGGAGGGGGTCGGGGGATAGAGGGGTTAGGTATCTGGTTAGCTGGGGGAGGGCGATGGTGGAGAGGTAGTGGTGGTGGGAGGGGCCGATGAGGAAGATGCGTTTTCTGTATAGTATTCATTATTAGTGCGTGTGTATCTATCTGTATGTTAGGTGCTGGGGCAGACATACGCTTTGGACAGGTCCAGCATCTTATAAGCCCAGGCAGCACAGGGACCCGAGTAGGCGTAGCCGGCGTGACTGTATACAATCAATGTCAGTTACTATGTAAAATTCGGACGAGAAATAGCTCCGATTAGAATAAACAAGAGAGCATACGGTGCAATGATGATTCTAGCTCCAGGGACTGGGAGGCGGCCTAAGCCTGGTAGCTCATTAGGGACCTGGGAAAGCCATTTGTTCAGCTGGCTTGAGAGGGTTGGTTCGTGGTCTGAGTACCAGGACCCGGCGTGTGTTGCTTCTCTAGAGGAGGACATTCTGGATAAATCAATTTTTATATGAGGTACGTAAGTTCTATGGTATTAATTGGTATATTCATGTCAGGAAGAGTGTGGGTGAGGAGGGTAGCCCAAAGCGTTGGTGGGATGACGGTTTTGGTGTTGAGTCTAAGGCGGGGAAGAGTTTTGCGGCATGCCGAGAGGAGGGCGCAAGAGTTAGACACGGCATGCCGAAGCCGGGATTAAGAATCTAGGAACAATTTCCTCGCTATTTATAGGGCATCTTATAAACTTTTAGGATCAGCGTAATATTAGTATGTTTTGCTGTGAGGTGTTCAACATCCATTCATACACAATAGCATGCACCCCCAACCTCAATTGACAGGGGCTTATCATTCTCCCAGATCTGCATCAGCCTGAACTATAAGCTAATCAATTGGGCTCTGAAATACCGGGAGGGGGAACTGTCCTCCACTCTTCTAGGAAAAATGTAGCTAATAATGTCGGTCACATCTGAATTGGCATAGTTCCATCCTTTACATGTTTACATTTGCAGTTAATATGTAGTCACCTCGTATTGTACGAGGTCTTCCCGTGTCGCTTCTAGCGGGCCTCCCACGTGTGGCCCGCCATGCATTATTTCTCGATCTTTACCCAATGTGTAAAACGGTAGAAATACGTTGATGCTAATCGAGAATCATGACCATAAATCCAGATACAGCAGCTTCAGCAAAGGAAACTCCTCGTCCAAGGCTGTAAAATTCCAGCGGATGATGTCCCGATACTGCCATAGAAACCTGGAGAGGAGAGAACACGTAATTCCTCAAAGTACAGTCAGCAGCAATTCAAGCGTGATCTACTGAGAACCTAGTGTTCCCCCTCAAAGAACCCCATAAAAATGTAATTCGCCGGCGAGTTGTGGTCATTGTAAAGAGCGTAGACCCGCGGAACCTTAACTTCTTCTGTTGCTTGTTATACGAGAAGAGCATATTCGCCTTTTCAACGAGGCCAACTTGGCCTGCCCTTACGAATTTGACCACAAACTCATCACCAACTTTAACGACCTTATACCCATTGTGCTTGACCGAAAGAGTCTCGCATTCTATCTCGGGGTCAGAATGGGATGTGGAATATCGGGAGCGAAATACAGCAAAGGATGGAGACCTAGAAGTGTTGGATTCAATTGTTTATGATGTTGACTTCTTAGTAAAGTATAAAGTGGGTAAAGCTGTGATGAACAGCGCGGTATCGGCTTTCAGGGAGGCATTTCCAGGCCTGGCCGCACGGTAGCATTCTTCATGAAGGGATCGGGTTTTCTTGTACTCCGTACATTTACAGTCCACAAGAGCGGAAGTTGACTGCGCACAGTGGTTCGTCGCGTTGGAGTGAAAGTTACAAGCCTATTTGCCACGTGATCACGCGTCTCGGAGCAGCGCGCAGCATTGGAACAGCTCTGTCCTTTGACAGAGATGATTATAGCAAAACGCGGCACGAGATACTTTGCAGAAATTTTTGCATTTTGCCGATTCATCAAGAATCGCTTTTGAGTTGAGCCCATGGAATTGAGGAAGCTCATAGATGGCGAGACTGAAAGGCTTTAACTTACCGGAGTTAAGATATTCCTTCATAAAGACCAATCAACACCTTTGGATATCCCATGCCACACCACTACACACCCCATCCAGCTAGAAAAAGAGCTACTCGCGAGACTAAAGACAGCTCGCGACGAGGTTGGGTGAATGACTTACCTATCTGCAGACCTACATATCCACGCATTTATATGTGGTCAGCTCTCTCAATCGCTCCTAACCGTGTCTGTATAGTTACACACTTTATACCCCATTGTACCCAGTTAAAGCCCGGCTACTCGTACAGGTCCTTCATCCACCATGGGTCTCAAGCGCAAGGCGTCCTTCACCTCCATTACCTCCCCAAGGAGCCACAGCTCCCCAACCTACCATAACCACAACCACAACAACAACCAGACCTCCCCAATCCAAATGCCATTCCTAGGCACCGCAACAGTCACCGTCGACGAGCCCCCGCGACACCTCCATAGCCGCACGCGCAAACGGTTCCGCAACGACCGCCCGGACGACCAGAGCATATACGGTAAGCCTGTCATTAAAAAATACCATTCATTCGATAGAAATGGTGGGTAAGGGGGGTTTCTATAGCTAAATTTCAATCTTATAATAGATAAAACCCTCCAATGGCTATTTTCCGCCCAGCGGAAACCAAACGTATCGCAGAATAACCTAGAATCCACGCTGGCGGCTTCTACCGCTGATGATCCCCCCAATGAACAACAGCCATCACCACCACCCTTAGATCCCAATCAGCAGACGCTGCAGAGATTCTTCCAGCCCGTTCGCAGTTCACGAAATGCCCAGAACCAGGACTATAACCATGGATTCAAGGCTGTAGTGCTTCCAGCTGCCACACCCACACAGCATTTAGCAAATAATGGTGTATCGATATCGAATCCTACACAGCCGGTTGAGGGGATGGGTATGAATAATACGGGTCTGGACGTCAACATGGACATGGATATGGATGGGGGTTGTGGGGGTATGGAGGGCTTCGTGCCGGTGCATGTGTTGATGGCCCTAGAGCAGGGGCAGGGGCAAGTACATGCACATCATCGTCATCATTATCATCAACAACAACAACAGCAACAACTGCACGAGCAGGATAGGCGATGGGTTGGTGGTATCGGATGGATGTAGTTTGTGTGTGCCTATTGGGTTGGGGGGTTTATGTCTCTTAATTGCTTATTTCTTATTGATTGAGGTTTTGTGTCACTGCTGTATATATATATGGGCGTGCGGCGTTCTTTTTTTGGGTCGGATGTCTGATATGTTTTTAGCCCTTCGAAACGGAGCAAGTTCGTTCATTTGGGATGTGAGGTCCTGCTGCTTGCGGGTATGTTCTTCTTGTCTCCCTTGCCATTATATATCGGTAGATGTCAGCTGGAATCATAGAAGTAGATGTACGAAGAACATTTGAAGCACAGAAGAGGCGCCGTTTTTGAATTCTCTTGAACTGAAATTGCTCAAGAGATGTTGCATAAGAGCATGGATAGCACCCGATGCATAGAAATATGTACATCCCCTTCGAAAGAAGAAATTGTATTAATAGATTCTTCTCAATGTGGCGTATTCTATATATCCAACAGACAGCCAACATCAAACTGTGGCGCAACCATTTATCATAAGGGTCGAGTGTGGTTTAACGGGTTTTCAACGGTCAAGAAGAACAGAGCTAACTAGACATGTTGTTATGAATAAATGTAGATAACTAAATAATATGTAGTTCCAAACTGGTTTGGTTTTTTATTTTTGATATTTTCTTTATGCTTTTATAGCTCTAGCAGGATCGCCGGCCTTATCCTCGCCCAGCCAGGATTGAGTGGGTTAATCTTAACCCTATCCTATCCACCACCAAGCAACTTCCAACCTCCGACCTCAACCTCCGACCGACCTCGACCTCGACCTCACCAACTTCCACCTCCCAGTCCCGCCTTGCATCCAGCTCTATCTCTCTGCAATCCTGTTTCTCTCTACCCACCTGCCCATCGTCCGTTGCCGTTACAGCTGCGATTGTTGCCGTCGGAATTTCTTGACTACATCCCCCCCCACATCTGCCAGGTGGTGTGTGTTTTTCAGCCAATTGAGCAAGGGTTTGAAACAACCTCTTTGAAGGAAACTTTTGAACCACCTTAACTGTCTGAACAACACCAATCACTGCACCCTCCCAATGGCGCCGTCATTATGAACTTCCCCGTACGCTGCTCTGTTTCATAGGAAGCAAACAAAACAGAAAAGAAAAAAACAACACCGTCCCGCGGATATCCATAGCGAAAGCCCCTGATATCTACCGGCTTCGAAATATACAATATTGGTTTGGAGGCCTACACCGGGGGACATTCAACAATAACTAACATCTCTCGCCTATCACTTGTTCATTCCCGCCGAAAGCTTTCCCCCATTTTGTCATTAAACTCCCTCCAATCCGGCGCCATACATAGCCTACCCCTCGTTCCCGGACAAAGCCAGCTATGCCTGGCGCAAGCTTCGAGAAATCCGTCAAGGGGGCAACAAAGACTAAGGTCAGTATATATATATCCCTAAATCAATCACCGACGCCATTCATTATCCCTCATAACCATATCCCATCCAGTTCCAAAGAGTTAAACCCAGCCAAAAAACTGACACAATCCTAAAAACAAAACTAGAATGCCGCCCCGAAATCCAAATATATCGAACATATCCTGACCGCAACATACAGCGAGGCCGGTGTCGCTGAAATCTTTCGCACGCTCCAGTATCGCATCCGTGATTCAACATGGACCATTGTGTACAAAGCCCTCATCGTGGTGCACATGATGATCCGCGAAGGTTCCGCCGGCGCTGCGCTGAAATATCTAGCGCAGCATCCTAGGCTTCTGATCGTTACGAGTATATCTGAAGGTACTTTTTTTTTTCTCTTTTCTCTGAGAGCGACGGAAGTGGTGGTGGCAGATATGTCAAATGTGTGGCTTTCATGCTATTGTATGCAAAATTGTTGACCTTCAAGTCTAGTCCAGGCCCAAGGACTGAATATATGGAGATACTCTGAATATCTCATTTCGCGCGCGAATGCCTTTGCGGAGACCAAGACAGATTTCGTACGCGGCGGCGAGGGACGGTTAAAACGACTTACTGTTAGTAAGGGCTTGTTGAGGGAGACGGAGATTGTGCAGAAGCAGATACATGCCCTGGTGAAATGTGATGTGAGTTGCGCCGACTGCGTATACTGTTTTTTGGCACCCCATTGGACACAAGCTGACGTCCTTTTCTTTTTTTTCCTCTCCAGCTCTTAATGGACGAACCGGATAATGAGATTAGTTTAACAGCATTCCGGTTGCTGACGTTAGACCTCCTAACGCTATATTCTGTGATGAATGAGGGAACTATTAATATTCTAGGTATGTATACCTGGTTCGCAGGATCCTACTTTAGGATGATAGCTTACGTTGGGCGTTATAGAAAATTACTTTGAAATGTCGCGACCGGATACCGAACGTGCTTTAAAGATATATAAACGGTTCAGTGCGCAGACGGAAGACGTAGTGAAATTTCTACGGATCGCGCGGCAGTTCGAAAGCGCCACGCGCCTGGCGATACCGAATCTAAAGCACGCCTCAACCGACCTAGCCAAGCTTCTTGAAGATGACCTTAACGATCCAGATTTCGACCTGCGCCGGCGGGAATATCGTGCGCAAAAGTTTGGCACGAGCAGCGAAGAGAAAGAAAAAGGAGTTGCGAGAAGCAGATCAGTCTCAGCGCCGCAGAAATCTAAGCCTGCGCCTGTTTCAGCGCAAACGGCACCACCGAAGCTAGAAGTAAAGAGCTCAGGGCCTAATCTGATTGATTTCTTTGACTCTACCGACCAACCTCAACAGAAGCAGCTGTCCATGCTGCAGCAAACTCCTCAACAGCAGCAATTCAATCCTCTAACTTTGCAGTTCCAGCAGCCACAACAGATGCAACCGCAACAATTCCAACAAACGGGCTTCCAACTACAGCAAACTGGGTTTAGCCCGCAGAATAACTTCCAACAGCCTCAGCAATTCATGCAGCAGATGACAGGCCTGGGCCAGCAGCAGCAGCAAACGGGTTTCGGCGGCCAATTCGGACAATCGAATTCCAACCCCTTTGGGCAAATGCAACAGCTGCCGCCGACTCAACCTCAACAACAATTACAACCCCTCCAGCCAACCCATACTGGCGCCGGATTCGGCGGCTACACCCCGCAACCACAATGGAACACCTTCCAAACGGCCCTCCCCAGCATCCCGCAAAATGGAATGGCTTCGTTCCAGCAACCCACGCTTACCGGCGGAGGACGGGCGAACAACCCCTTCCGCCAATCCATTCTCCCGCCAGCCTCATCAGACACCTCCAACTTCTCCCCGCTCAGCCCAGCTTCGTCCAACCCTACGCCCTCCTCCACAAACCCCGCAACCACTCTAACCCGTCAATCTACAAACCCCTTCGCCAAACGCCTCACAGTGCAAACCCCTCAATTCACAAATGGCTACCAATCCCAATCCTCATCGCCTTTTACCTCCCAACCACCCACCGCCCCCCTCCCTGAACTACCATCCCAAGAACAACAAAACCAACAACCCGCCGCACCCACCCTCCAACCCCAACGAACAGGGAAAAACCCGTTCGCCCGCCCCCAAACAGCACCTGGCCTCCGACCACAACCGCAAACCCAGCCTCAAATGCCCGGGCAGACGCTCGCGCCGCTCCGGCCCAACCCGACCGGTAGCACGAACCCGTTCCGCCAAAGCGTGTTTATAAACCAGCATACGGGGCAGGGGTGGCAGATGGGCCAGCAGGGGACGATGGGGGGACTGGAGAATTTGGAGACAAGGCCGGTGTTTCCAAGGCCGGGACAGCAGATTGCTTAGCTTTTTTCTTTATTTCCTTTTCTTGGTAATGTGTTTGCTCCCTTTGGGTTGTTTTGGGACGGATGGGGGGTAGGAGGGAGGGGGGAGAGGAGAATAGGGGAGAAGATGAAAAGAGTCCTGGTGACCGGGGTACTGCCAAGAAGACACCCGGCCAGCTTGCTGGCTTGTGTGTGTGCACGCGTGAAATTTTGCTATCATTTGCATCTTTGTTATCATTACCATTATCATTCATTCCTCTGGTAAAATTATACCACTCTTGTTCAGCTTCATTTGTCATGTTTGTTTCATTTCATTTCATTTCTAGCTCCAGCACCACTTTCATTAATCAGTACCTTGTTTCATTGTCATATTTCTTCCCTTTCACCCCCTTTCCTTTGCTGGGTTTTCTTTTCTTTTTCCCTTTCCCATCCCTCCTTGCTACATTTTCGTTTTCATTTCTTCCCTTAAGTGATTTTTCCCCCTAGATATAGTATTATATATATCATCATCTTCAATTTTCTAATTTCTAATTTTAAATTTTCAAATCTGTTCTCTTTCCTTCTTTTCCTTTCTCCATTTCTTCTTTGCACCGCGTCTTTATTGAAAAATTAAAGACAGACAGACAGACAGATAGATAAATATAGCTAGAATTAAAATAAGGCTAATACAATTCTTTTGATTTCTGTGGCAGGCACACGCACACGAAACTGTTGGACGTGTACGGGACATACATAATATACATGCTTACAGCCTGAGGCGGAGGTGAATTTGTTGAAGCATTAAGGGATTGGAGAGTCAGTTTTGATAATCCGCGAGGGCTTTCGTGGGGAGGAACATCTCCGGCCCTCATCTAACTTCTCTTCCTCTTTCATCCTCCTTGTCCCGCTTTAACGTCCATGTAGGCTTTGAGTCAAGAATAGGTTTATGTAAGGGGTGGGGGTTGTGTTGTCGCCAAGGTACTCCGTGCAAATATGAGTGAGTGAGTATATTAGAGAGATAGAGAAGCAAGCACCTTTGGAGAATCAAAACTGAGAACGACTCAATTAAGTCTTTGTTGAAGTCCTTTTTCCACTCCCAGATAGCATAATATATATATCCACGGAGCGACGCAAAGAAGAGAGAGGGTGAGTTTTAAAAAGTAATTTGATCAGCCCTAGGCCCAAGGAAAGTTATATTTTTTATTATCAGAGATGATGGTTGCTTCAATGCAATTCAGGTACTATCCTCATACCAAGACACTTTCATATAATTGTACCCAGCACCTCAACTGAAATCTATCTCCTGCCACTCACTACGACCAACAGTTTATGTCTATAACATATAAATAACTACACGCAACACAGCTTGCATTGCTCACGGTCTAACCAAAGAGTCGGTCTAATAACATCAGCAGTAGTCAAGTCTGGGATATCCAATCTTTCACTAGAATCTCTCTTCTGAAACAAGCGAAAAAGCACGCAGAAGGTGGACGACCGAACCTATGTCTTGATTCCTCATCCCCCCCCCCCTTTTTTTTCCCCTCTTCCTTGATTTTTCTCTCCCTTTCACGTCTCTCCAGAGAAATAAAGGTTTTCCCTCTCTGCTTTAGCGATGTTCTATCTACAGCTAACCCTCAACTCAACCAGAAGCCGGGTTCAACCCACTCCCACTTTCCTCCTTTCAAATGGTGGTTGTGGTATATCCATCTTCCTCTCCTCTTGCCCCCCTCAAATCCACTACATAGTATAACAACCATCTTCAATCCGAATTTCGCAAAAGATGAATAACCCACCCTTCAACAGTCGGTGGTTGGGGGGCTGCTTTGATTGAGTCACGCCCAGGCGAGCGAGACGGAGAGGGAGAAAGGAAGTCTCCTTTATTTATGTTTCCGCTAACTAAACTATAACGAACTAGCAAAACTTAAAACCTTCATTTCAAGCAACCGCCAAATAATAAATATCCTCTGGTTTCCACCTGAAGTTCTGATCGTCGTTCATTATTCGCCCTCGCCCAAATGCCCTTTTTGCCTGGTAAATTAATTCCTCAATGCTGTCGATGAAGAAACTTTCGAAAATTCCTCTGACCTCTCTCTCTCTCCAGATTTGCTCAAAAAAAGAAAAAAAGAAAAAGAAAATCGGAACACGCGATTTACAGGACATGAAAGAGATGGATGGCGTGATATATATTGTTTTAAAAAAACGAGTATTGAGATAACATTTCAGCCGCAGCAGGGATAAAAGCCAACAAGGAAAACAGGAAAAAAATAAAAAACAGCACTCATGCTCTGCTGAAGATCTGGTGACCTTTTCATGCATGACTTAGGAAGTTTGGCTCAAAAATATTGTCTCCGCATTCCTGATCTCTCATCCATCTCAAGCCAACCTAATCAATACCTCCTCGCCTTTCAGCTCAACTCGGTAACAACTACAAAATCTATACAACGAAGGGCTCAAAACTAAAGTGAGGATATCATATCGATGACGAAAACATATTTAAATTCTTTCCTGCGCGCATGGCCCCTATTTATTTTTTAAACAGTCTCGCGATCGGCTTTCCGCCGCGCCTCGAGTGCCTTGACTGACCATGGCAAGTGCTTAACGGGGACGATGAAGAAGCTATTGTTGGCATCTGCGATACCCGCTAGAGCATTATACCACGCCAAAAACGCACAAATGATTCCAAAACCACCGCCCGCCTTGATGAGCGTAGGGTTCGGCGAAAACTCGGGTGTGAGGAAGAAGTGACCAAGAGCAAGCATCAAGAATGCAAGGTCGAGAGTGACGAAGACGAGGCAGAATGCCACTGTGGATCTGAGAGTACAAACGAGGAGGATGGTTGTGAAGATCCACCATCCCTAAAATTGGTGACATGACATATTAGTATAAGGGTCGTCTCTTACTGCGGGAGAAACAAGACCGGATTTTCCATATCAAAAACTTACGAAAAGCCAGAATCCCACTGCGTTCTGGAGCCCGGCTTCTCCGTTTTTCTCGATCATAGTTGCCGTGATTTGAAACCCACCAGGGGTGAAAATAATTGCGTAAGAGATCCAGAAGCCACCGTATGACGAGAGAGCTGTTGCACCGAATGTATTTCCGATTGCCATTTCCCTACAACAATGCCATAATATGTCAGTTCTCGTCATCCACACATTTTCTAAGGATGAAATGGGGGTGGGACACTCCGCTTTTTTTTTTTTTTTTTTTTTCTTTTTCTTTTCTTTTCTTTTCTTTTCTTTTATTTACTTACCACATGCCCGCAAGCAATTGAACGAAGCCACCGTAACCATACGCAGATGCAACCACAATATTTGGCGTGGCCACCCCTCGCGTGTGCATGTTGATCAAACTGAGGACAAATGTGGTGAGGGCGAAAGCAGACAGGCCAAGCGGAGCCGGGTTGGCGAACTTGCGCTGCTCAACGGGGCGATACAGACCGGGCTGGAATTCACCTCCGAAGGCGGGGAGTCGTTCTCCGGTCGTTGGGATCTGAGCGAGAGGACCATATCCGAAGCGAGCGGCGGCCTGGGCGACTTGATATTCCTCATTGGTCATGGTGCGGCCCGGTTGGCTTCCATTGGAAGACACGTTGGCGAAATCTTTTTCTGTTGGTTCGCTCATTGTTCCCCACGCGCTTGTTGTCTGTTTATGCGTATACCACGAGTCGACGGGGTCTTTTTCTCCCTGATATAAGGGCTTGGAGGGAGGGGATGGTTAGATTTACTGAATCTAAATAGGGACGAGAAGAAAAAGAAGAAATGTGAAAGAGAAAAGAGAGACTGCAGGATAGGTTAAGTTGAAGAGAAAAAGAGAAAGAAGTCGGACGAACCTGCTCTATGCACACAAAGAAGGATAGGGAGGAACGCAGGGGCGAGGAACAAGTAAAGAACAGGAAGGAAGGATGGCCAGAACTAAAAGACGAGGAAGGCGGGAAGGAAGGGTATAAAAGGGACAGTGAGACAAGTCGAGAAGAGGAGAATTCTGGAGAAACGATTGATATTCTTCTCTATAGGAGGAGCTAACAATGCTACTCGGTGAGGTCGGTCGGACAGACGGGATGTTCGTTTTTGTCAAACGATCCAAGACGTAATGAAGTATCATTACTGATTGGAATGAGACCAGGACGGGGAGAGCGAGAGACACTATATTGGGCCTTGGCTGGGCCTTGGCTGGGCGGGAGCTGTTTGGTTTCGTTTTGAGAGACCGGAGCAAAACAAAGAACAGGTATCCTCTCCTTTATTTTGCATTATTAGGTAGGTAAGGATCATTGACGGGGTAAAGGCGTGGAGGACATTAAAAAAAAAAAAAAAAAAAAACACAACGTGGGATAAGGTTGGTGGAGAGAACAAGCTGACTCTTTGATACAAATTAAAGGAAGCGAATGACTGCCTAGGTTTTTTTTTTTTTAGATGGCCGATAACCCCAGGAAAGGAAGAAGGATGGAGCTGTGCCAGGATCGGAACGATAAAGCTCAACTGGACATCTGTTGATATTTTCTGTCTCATAAATTTTTATTTCCCAGAACTAGGTACCGAATTACCCACCCCAACCAGCATCCGAAAACCAGGAATGACGTAGAGCTCCATAGATTTTCGCATTCCGCACTAAACTCATATCAGGTGGGTAATTCTTTTTGGCAAAGAGCAGCTGAATGGACCCGGGGGAACAGGAATTTTATTTTACTTCCGGAAGCGGTGGACGGAGTTGCATGTGGACTCTCTTTCTCTCTCTTCTTTTTTTTTTTTTTTCTCTAATTTATATTCGTGATTGAGATCTCGAGCAGAACAGGAGGCACTCAACAATGCGGTCATACATCGGCTCGGAACCTTGGATGCAGGGGCAAGAAGGAGGCAAAAACGGACCATCTGGAAGGGCGAAATAAAACGGTGTGACCGTGGTCCCAGATTTAAGTTAACCCGAGATTTCTATGGGTATATTTTTGGCCAAAGTGAATTCATTTTCCGACATAGTACCCAAATCCATTTAGGGATAACTTGCCGCGGATTTTCCGGAAATAAAGTTTTATCTCTTTTCTTTTCTTGTCTTATCTTTTTTTCCTATTGCTTCACATGTAATTGCTACGCAGATGAGATAATTTATGTCGTAGATTACAGATGCTGTGCAATGCCTGCAGCCGGTTTTCTGCCTCTACCGCTGCAGCTATCCTGCCATTATCGAATTGAAAATTAAAATTTTCTCTTATTATTATTGCTCTCTCTATAATTGTGGAATTTAAAGAGCCAAAACAGTGTCAATTAGGAAGAATATAAGAAGCTGCTACGCCGTGTGATGTCTATACCATATATGATTGATTGCTCGGGATCAATTTGAATAAAAAGGGTAGAAATTTCCCCCAAATCCCATAAGCTGGAGCTCAATCCATCCATTCCATCTATCTATTTCAACAAACAGACGACATTACATTGAGACCTGTTTCATGAAGCTCCTATATCGGATAAAAAATTAACATAATACAAAACTACCTACATACAATAATGGTTTTAAGTAAGTTCCAAAAAGTCTTTCCCCACCACCATCATGATCATCATCGTCGTCGTTGGCATGTTAGTATCGGAGCAAATACCTCAAAGTCGGGACTGAGACGGTCTCACTTTTTCACGGAGTTTCCAGGATCAGAATGTCAATTCTGGGATATTATTTTTGTGTTTTTAGTTTTTAATTGTTCCGGGCATACATGTGATTTTGTTCAAGACTTTTTATACTTGTGTCAATGTTAATCTGGATTGATTTCCCCTTTTTCGCATGGTCGACCCAAACCAAATTAGGGTTCTGGTATACTGCGTAACTAGTTACGTCCATGGGTTGCATAAAAAGGTAAAAGGTAAAATACCCGTTTCATCCTTCAGCTGCTGAGCAGTGCTAGGATCTCGGTGAAACTGTGGCCAGTCCAGTGATGATGGGCAGTGAAAGCCGAAACGAGGAGCGAATGACACAGACAGACGCATGAGGAATTTGTTTTGTCCCCTCGATGTGCTGATCATCATTACAATCCCAGGATTTGTGAGCATCGTAGTGTACGTGCACATATGCAATACAAGAAAGCCCCCTCCCAATCCCCCACGGGCCAAAAGTCATATAGCTATTTCCTTTTTCACTCGAGGGAGCCAAATTGTAAAAAAAGGGGTTCCCGGGAGGTCTTTAGTAAAGTTCTTGAGCCAAAGCCACAGCTCTTGGAGGAAGGCTTCAAAATGCCACATGGTGACATGGCTTCGTGCAAGCCTATTCCGGATCCACAAAGCTTCCCCACAAATTCGCTCTCCTTTGGGCCCTGGCGTGCTAGAATCTGGGGTAACTAGTGTATTAAGCCTGGTTTGCTATCACTAGCATACATCTGGCGACAAATAGACGAGCCCAGTCCCTTCTTGAACGTTGAACCCTACCAAGTTTGGGGGGCTTGGTGCGCTGAAGGTTACAAAAGCTGCTTAACGCTGAAGTTTTGCAAATTTGAGCTTTAACTTATTTGCAAAATTAACACAAGTTCCAGGATCACTGTGCAATATATTGATATTTCAGGGGTGGAATTTTGATTCCAAACGGGAGTTGAGATGGCCCTTTGAGCTTCCTGTATCAGTCTGATAATCAAGGTGCAGTTGTCCTAGCTTCTTTTCTTCTGAACTTATGCTGTCTTTATATTGTTAATCCGAACGAAATCACGATCAACCGTGGTTTCATATCTCAATATTTTTTATTCATTTTTCACCCTTTATTTTCATTAACGTATAGGTACGGCGGGAGCAACGAAGCAGAGATGAATAACGCACGAGTTCGAGGACCAAACAAACCACCCACGATTTTCCTTCACCGCATCTTCAAAGCCCCCACCCCCTCTCTTATAGCAACTCATGTCGATGAATTGACGTGAAACCTGATAGAGAGACCTGACGCATCAATTGCCGTGTGCTAAACATGCAGATGATGGCCTCAGAGCTCAGAGGGGAAAAGGTAAATGAAGAATGATTCCGGATTGGTTGACATGCTCAACCTGCCCATCGCGAGAGAGTGGAACGGAGGACAGATCCCAAGGACGGATGAGCAATTAGATCTGCCTATCCTACCCACAGATGATGGGTTGTGATTGGACCTGCGACGGGAGAAGTGGCACGAAAACGGCAACCCTGGGCAAGATTTCTTATTTGCTCCGAAGGGCTAGGGTCATTATTATTGAATGGCGACGGCGGATGTTGAAGATCGTACAAGGCATTGCATAACGCATAGCCCGACAGCGAGTGGGGTGAGATAGCGGTGACACACATATAACATTATTATTATTGTGTGCTTTGTGTGCAGGAGTCGACGTCGTGGTACAAACAGAGAGTACGTACCGTGCATCCACCGGGCGTCATCTTGCTCTATCCGGACAGTAGGCCCCCGTGTGCTATGTCAATGTCCACTTTCTATATGGTTCATTTGACAGCGAGAATCACACTGATCGTTGTTGTGAACGTGATTGGTGTCCTCTCCCTGCGTCCGACCAGGCTACCCTTAAATAGGCGCCAAGGCTGCGGGCGTTCAGGGCCTGTTCGGTGCGTCCGGGTGTGTTCTTTTTGTACGGATCTCCACTTTTTTTAAAAAGTACAGCCCCAATCTCATGACTGTTCGGTGGGCAGAGTGTCTGTACTAATAGTACAGCTGCTTTTTACAAAGTACAGATGAAAAAGGCCAGATGTTCAGTGAATTGAGCAGCTGTACTTGCATCTTTTGTCAAGATCTTATGAATAAGCCATATTTAACTTCAACAGCATGTAGACTGGCCGCCGGGACCATGAATTTCACATTTGGTCCCATTTGGTCTGGTCTCATACATTTCTTGGCGTGAGTCCCACCAGGACCATGTGGAAGGTGTAAAGCTTGTGTGATTGAAAGGTTGCTAGCTTGTGGAAAGTTATATGGTGGAAGGATTAGTAAGCCAGATCACGTGACCTGACACCCCCACTCACCAGAGTAACTATACACGATGCTATATACAAAATTCGCCTTCAAATCAAGTACAGGTACAAAAAATGACTGGAAAATGTGTAGTAATGAAAAATCAGTCATGAGATACATTATTTTTTATTCCTCTATTTCTCTATCTTCTTTATATTCTCTTTTCAATGTGTATATTTCAAATGATTGATCTCTTTAACACAGGCCTTGTAATAATACTTTCATTTCATAAAAGCTTTGACATGTGTGAGGTTTTTCAGAATTGAAAGTACAGTGATCTCAGAATCAGTGAATAGGTCTTTAAGACTATCTCTCACTGAAGATTTCCTCAATGTAGATTCTCTCACTATAGTGATATTTCTTGTAGATGTCAGAGAGTCATCAGATTTAACTATGAGTTCTGAGAAGTTCAGTGTATTCTGCACTAAAAGAATAGATTATTCTCATGAAGATATCATAGTCAATTCATCAATTATTAGTGAGTATGAGAAATAATAAACACTCAGATTGAATTTTCTCATCAATGAATAGATTATTAATTAATGAATCAGAAATTGCTGCAGTCTCTTGATAAGCTGCAGTGAGTAGATCTGATGTCTCTGAAGAAATCACTGCAGTCACTTTACAGACTGCATTGAGTAGAATTGTAAGAATAAGTGCTCGCAGGTGATTATTCAGGTGTTTGCAGCTTGGTGTGATATATACTGTTAACTACTAGAAGTATTCACAGTAGAAAGATAAAATATAGAGGTCAAATGTATAATAGTATTCAAGCTGAGTTGTAAATAGTATTTGTGAACTTCAGTCTATATAGTTATATGTAGTCAAGAGCTGCTAGCTCTATTAATTATATAAGAGATAGAAATAGAGATAAAGAATCTGTGAGAAGTGAGATTTCTTATATACTTCTTTCTCTCTAAGGCTTTGTCTGTGAAGTCTTTCACTGAGTAACTTCATAGAGTCAGCTCAGTACTGCAGTAATACTCACTAAAAATTCTTCACATCTATAAAAAAACCTCAGTGAGAAAAAATCCCTTGTTATTATAAAGAGAAAAGAGTCTGTTACTTAGTTTCTTATTCTGTAAGATTCTTTATAATCTACAGATTCTTCTCTAACTATCACACAGATTCATCTCATATCTTTCATACAGAAGAATTTCAGTTAACTCTCAATTATTTTTATAAGATTCTTGTGTGATTATTACACAGATTCATCTCATAAATAAATCACTCTCTATGAGATCATTCTTATTAAAGAGAAGTATTTATGAGTTAATCTTTCACTTATTCTTATAAATCATTATTCTTTAACACTGTAGAATTATGAGGAATTTTTCATTCTTTTACTAACTCTGTAGAATTGTAGAATCAAGATATCTATGATCTGCAATCACTCTTTGTAGTTATATAGAAAGATTCAGGCCTGCAATTCATAATCACTCTTATTTACTAGAGTAATCTGACTATTTTACAGAATTACTCACAGTGTAAGCAAATCTCTCTAGAGTAGTATAAATATCTCAGATCTGTCTGCAGAATTTCATCTTCTTTTCTCTTTTTCTATAACAGCTCTCATTCTTATAAACTATGAGTATTCTTATTCATCTATAAAGTGTTTTTACTCAGATAATAGAGAGAGAGTATTTCTGACAATGTCTGTATATTAATTCAAGAACTTCTTAAGAATAAAAAATTTTTTCAATTTCAATATCTTTATAAATAATATCTGATTACTATTAAACTTCTTGTAAGTGTCTCTGCAACTTCTCTGATCACTTTTTACTAACTGATAAAGTAGAGATATCATCACTCATAATTATATCTTCACTTCTCTCAGCTCTGTCACTGTATCTGATCTTCAGATTAGCAGTTAATTTCATATCTCTCTCAGATCAGT